CCCGAGCCCACCGGAGGTTTGGCCTTCGCCTTCCTCCAGGACACACGGGGCTTGGGCCCCGGAGAGGCGCCCGCTGGTCCCGGGAGCCTCGGGGGAGTTGATGGGAGCCCCGAGCGGGCCGCTGTCCCGAGACATGTGGTCAGGGCCGCCCCTCCAGCCTGCCCCCGCCGCAGACGGCGCCCCACCTCCCGGGCGCCCCCGAGGACCCAGGGCCCGGGAGGGAGGCGGGGGCTGCCGCGCCCGCGAGGGGCTTGGCGAGGCTCCCCTCTGCGGCGCCCTGCGCCTGAACATTGCTCGTTCAAACAGGAAGTTCTAATCCCGGGCTTGGGGGGCTGCAACAGCGAAGACTGGGGGGCCCCCCCAAACCCCCCCCCCCCCCCCGCTGGTGGGCTGCTCCGGGCTGTCCCCAGCGGCCCCAACTCTGGGCGCCCCCTGCTGGCGGCTGGAGGGTCCCCGCATAGCCGCCTTGGAAGCTGGCGGGAGTCTGGGGGCGCCTACTGTGTGGGGGCACCTACGTGTGGGGGAACTTATGTGTGGGGGGCGGGCACCTACCTGTGGGGGGGCACAGCTTGATGAGCTGTTTACTGCTGTTGCTGGTGGTATTTGGGGGCAGCTCTGGGGGGTGCTGTTTTCATTCCTCTTGCACAATGGAGGGGGTCAGCCCCCCGCCCCCGGCCAGGTTCCCAGGGGCTGAGTGCTCCTGACACTCCCCTGGCCCACGACGCACACCCACGGGGGGACAGTGAGGCCCCCGCAGGCTCTACATGGCAGTGGGCGTGGGCCGGGGTGGGCTCTCGGCGTGGCCTGGGGCGGGGGGTTTTAGTCGAGGCTGACTCGGGGGTGCACCAGCCACCGGAACAACAGGACCAGGCGCTGGAGCCCGTGGGGCCCTCCGGACCCGCACGTGGGTGCTTAGATGTTCTTGGGGGTCCAGGGAGGACTGAAGAACACGTTCCGGGTACAGGGAACCCGGGGAGTGGCAGGTGTCATGAGGAGCCGGCCCCTCCTCGTGTGCCCCCACAGCCCACACGCTCCCAGCCGCTCAGCGTCAGCAGCGCCCCTCGTCCACCACAGTCTGCCGCCCCGTCCTTCCCGGAGCCCGCGGGCCCCTCTGGGTCCCCCGGCCCCTCTGGGTCCCTCTGACCCCTCTGGGCTCCCTGACCCCTCAGGGCCTCAAGGTCCCTCTGGACCCCTCTGGGCCTCCCCAACCCCTCAGGGCCCCCCCAACCCCTCAGGGCCCCTGATCCCTCTGGACCCCTCTGGGCCCCCCAACCCCTCAGGGCCCCTGATCCCTCTGGGCCCCCCAACCCCTCAGGGCCCCTGATCCCTCTGGACCCCTCTGGGCCCCCCCAACCCCTCAGGGTCCCCTCTGACCCCTCTGGGCCCCCCGACCCCTCTGGCCTCTCTGTCTCCAGCTCTCGGCAGCTCCCCCCTGCTGAGAGCTCTCCATGTGGCTTCGGTGGACGTCCCCGACGGGGGCAGCGCCGGCCCTCCCGTGGCGCCCCGTGCGGGGAGCCGCGGGTGGTCAGGAGAGGTCTGCCGCGCCCTGGGGGGTCACCTCC